ACTATCAGGACCCATCAACATGGCTGCGGAGCAGCGCAAAGATTCGTGGATTGCGTCTCTGATGGATTACCTATCTGAAACACTCGCCCACCCGCCATCTCGAGCTCTACACCGACAAGCCTCTCACTTCGCCATCCGTGATGGATTACTTTATCGCCGCAACTACCACCCTGACGGTCGCAAATGGCTACTCGTCATACCCAGACATCTCCGCGCCAGCATATGTGCTGCTTTCCATGCCGATCCGCAGTGTGCGCACGCCGGTTTGTTTAAAACCTACGCCAGGCTACGTTTTCGGTTTTATTGGCGCGGCATGTACACATTCGTTCAAAAGTACATTCGATCTTGCACAGAGTGCCAACGCCGCAAGCACGATCCTAGCCGTCCTACTGCACCAATGCAGCCGTTACCGTGCCCAGTGCGACCATTCGACCGGGTTGGAATAGACCTTTATGGTCCTCTACCATATACATCAGCTGGGAATCGCTGGATTATTGTAGCGATCGACCATCTCACGAGATATGCAGAAACGGCCGCTCTACCAGCCGCGACGGCACGTGACGTTGCGTCTTTCCTGCTGCAACGTTTTGTTCTGCGTCATGGCGCTCCACGTGAACTTTTGAGCGACCGAGGCCGCGTCTTTCTCGCGGATGTTATTCGAGAACTTCTTGCAGAATGCCATGTAATTCACCGCTGTACTACCGCATATCGCCCACAAACAAATGGCTTGACCGAGCGGTTCAACCGTACTCTTGGCGACATGCTTTCTATGTATGTCGCCTCCGACCACACCAACTGGGATCTCATCCTTCCTTACGTAACGTACGCTTACAACACGGCACCTCAAGCGACGACAGGCTTTTCTCCATTCTTTTTACTTTATGGTCGAGAACCATCGTCTCCAATTGACACCATTCTCCCCTACCGACCCGACTCATCCGAAGGCACACCACTTTCCGAAGCCGCGCGGTATGCGGAAGAATGTCGGCAATTAGCTCGCACCCTTACAACCCAAGAACAAGGGCTACAGAAATTTCGTCACGACGATGGACTGTCCAACTACCAATTTTCGCCCAACTCTCTTGTTTGGCTGTGGGTGCCCCCCAGTGCTGCTCCTGGTACCTCTACAAAGTTTGTCAGCAGGTACCATGGACCTTATCGCGTCATAGAACAAACTTCCGCTGTTAACTACCTCATCGAACCCTTCACGGCCACTGTGGACATGCGTCGCCGAGGCCGCGAAATCGTACATGTGAATCGCCTCAAACCATATCACGAACCACTTGTCCTCACGACACCTTAGAACACTTACTTGGCATTATCTTCAGCGAGGGGGAAATATGTAATGATGATTGTAGTGGGTCATGCAAATCTCGGCACACACATTGTCAGTGCTAAGCACGAGACGCTCGGCCCGAACTGTCGCTGATTTTGATAGCTAGGCCTACGCTCCTACCTGGTCTCGGATAACAGTTTTGACTGTCTCCGTTCTATATTATACCTCCTTTTGAAGGTGGGGCTTCCCATTCCATTGAATAAAAGTAGATTGCAAATAAAAGGATAAAAGTTCTAAAAAGCTACTAGGCGATATACCAGCACTATTGTAAAATGTTATGCTACCAAGCTTGTCAATGCAATCTTCTACACAGCTAAGAATCGATTTGTGAGGCAACGAATAATACATATCTTTTACATCAATGGAAAAACCTCACATGTGCTGATTCGAACGGGGTCGGACTAAATCAAGAACTTGATGGGAATTTTTCACGAGAAATGGGTCATCTACTATTAATAGACCAAGCTTACTTTGTAAAAACAATGCAACATTTTTTTGCCACGTGCCATTTTCTGAAACGATAACATGAAATGGTTTTTCAGGCTTATGTGTTTTCGCACTGAAGAATACCTCAAGACAATCTTTTTTGCTATTTGCTATGTCACTACAAGTTTACTGAGGTCGAGCTTTTCACAGATCTTTTTTGCCTGAGACTTGACTTTAGAAAGAACAACATTGTCGTAACTTTTGAAAACAGATGAAACAGCTTCACTTGCTTTAGAACTGAAAAGCTTGTAAGAAGCTTGTTTTCTGCCCCGAAAAAGCTCTCGTACTTGTGTATGAAAGTTGTTTCACATGCAAAACCGGGATGCTCTAAAAAGCACTTAACACTGTTTGTCACATGCGCGCAATTTGTAATCTATCAGATACCTCTTTCATGCGGTAAATACTACATAGGACAAACTGGCAGGTGCATTGATGACCGGCTCCGCGAACACGCTTGCAACGTAAGAAATGGTCGAGATGGTTTTTTGGCACTACATTGCAGCACGTGTGGCTGCAAACCACTTTTTCATGGTACAGTAATCATAGGAAAAAACAGAAATAAAGTGACAAGGGAGATTATTCAAGCAGAAAAGATTAGTAGATTAGGGCTGAACTGCGTCAGCACTCCTTCTCTCGGTCTTTGTGAAAAAGAATTGTCGTTTTTGAGATCATAAGTTTTAGCGCATGGCAATAGAGGGTTTTCATCTGTTTATCTGTTGTCTTCGAATTTCGTGAGCATATATATGTACGCTCCTCGAAGTAAAGATTTTGTTGGAAGTAAGCGCTCCCTTCTGTCCCTTCCCTTGTCCTATGTTTCTAAACGCGCTACGTCGATCAACTATGTCTTACCAACATGCCCAACTTTATACTCTAGTCAATTACCTTTCTACTTTCAATGCCGCATGCAAAGAGAGAGAGGGAGAAAAAAAAGAAAGCTGCCACGGAGTGTTGGCTCTCTCTCAAATGCTGATCTGCAACGCACCGATGCCACGCTTTCCTGTTCCCGTCCCTGCCACGTAGAGACCCTTCTCCTTTCAACGTCGCGAGCGAAGAAAGCAAAAAAAAAAAACAAAAAACAAAAAAAAAACAAAAAAAAAGCTGTCACGCAGTATTGGTTCTCAACTGCCGATCTGCTTCTCTCTGCGTGAAGACGCTCTTCCTTTCTCGCCACATGCTGGCCACACTGTGGCCACAGCGCAGAGGGTAGCAGCGAAGACGCAGTCGTTGTCATCGTCATCTTCAGAGAGGGACAGCACTGGACATTGCCACGCACAACTTCTCTTGCCAGGAGAATGCTGAAGCTGAAGTAAAATTGCTTTGCAGACTGCGTGCAAAATTGATTGATTCGCTGCAAGGCAAACGTGTGCATACGCGCATCACTGATTACTTCAATTATTGACAGATGCCCTGTGATTTGTAAATTAATGTAAGTGTTCTGAAACTTTCCCCTTGTGTGTTAGCTCAAGGCACATGAGTCACTGCATGGCGAGCCCTTCATTCACTTAGCTTTCGTTATTTCTAGCTTATTTTATTTCAAACAAATTTTCAGGCCCCTTTAAATTCAAATTATCGAGATTCGACTGTACCAGGCAATAATGATGACGATGGGGCTATCACACAATTGAATAGAATGGAGAGATAGAGAAATACGCAGGCATTCTGATGATGATAGTAGTGGCAGGCACGGAGGTGGGCATTAGTTTCTCAGCTGTGAGTAACTTTTTGAAATCGGTATTCGTCATATTGAGGTGTTACGGACATATATATAGTAGGATAAAATTCGATATGTTAATTTGAAACATTCAGTATTCTGAAATTCGTAGTAGTGAAATATTCTTTCATTAAACCGATACACATTTGATTGGGGATATTTGAAAAAAGTTGGTTGATCTCTTTTTCTTAGGAATGGCTATAACACGAAAGTTAAAGGTGTCCTTACAGAGGCAGCTGAGCATTCATTGTGCATTGTTCCGACATAAGGCCAAAGAAACGAATGCTTCACTGCTGCAGTAACAAACTACAATGTTATGCAAAGAAGCAGATCAAAACTTGCAGTTAACACCTCAAGCAGAAAGCTCGCACGAAATGAGCATACCCACGATGAGCGTGGACAAACAACTGTCACAGCTCGACACTTAAAGTATGGTGCTCAAACAGAAAGAAAGACACACAAAGCAAACACACAGGTATACACAGGACGAACACAAACAGTGGTCAAAATTTTTACTTTTTTGTGAAAGAACAGCGCACTCTTTTTGTAAACACAGCAGTGACAAAGCGAAGTAACGTTCGTGCTCTTGTTAACTACTGCAACTTCAAAGCAAGCTTGCGGTGGAAGCACAAGAGCGACAGAGTGCCCAAATTTCAAGATAAGTGCATGCTCTAGTGAGCCACCACGCTAGAGAACATCTAAATGCACTTTGACCATGCCATGTGGAAGCGTGCGAGCACGACGACGCGCGTTGGCATGACACAACAACATTTAGAGCGCGCACGCCCATGTACCATCTCGCTACTGGCGACGAAAATACGCTGAAGTACTGAGCTCTGATGACCGGCAATGGTACATGATGTGTTAAATGGCTCGTCGTCAACAGCTTAAGAAGGGTCGCTCTTAGGCTTAGCATCACGAGCTGAAGGGTGCAAGGTCGCTGGTTCGACGCCCCATACGGAACATTTCGTTCTAGTTTTTTTTTTTTTTTTTCAATCTATTAGTAAATATTTTAAAACAGCATATCCTAGGTAGACCCCACTATAAAACACTTTCAAGTTAAAAAATGTTAATCTAAAAAATCATTAATCTGACATTCAATAGAACGAGATTTGAATGCAGATACATGTGCCACACTGTTCTAGACTCTCTTAAATTTGTGCGTTAGCACCTGTCCTGTTATGTGTTTCTTTCGTGGTTGAGTGCCACAAAAATGTCTGTCAGTAGGTACCAACTCGCCCAACAACACATTCTTGTGCAGTACTATACTCCCACATTGTGTTTCAGCAGTGTAAAAGTGGCTCTTATTCAGTTGTTTTCGTGCCCGATTCAGAATTCTCAGACGAATGCAGACGTAATCACCCTTAATTGCATTGGCCTTCACAATTGCATGGTGCATTAAAAAGTACCACACAGAACCACCTATGACCTTGTTTTGCTGTAACCTTGGATTACACGAGAATTCACCTGTAAGTCGTGCACGCGCGAGCGTTGTGCCTCGTGGGTTGCCCGCTGCGCTTCCATCTGCAGCTGGTAGTCATGCAGGGCATCCCTGCAGGCAGCCACCTCACGCTCACTCTGGGCCAAGGCCTCGGAGAGTCGCTCGCACCGGCCACGAGCACGTGATAGCTCTGCAGAGCAACCAAAATGTGCATGGCAGGCTGCACAGAACCTACAGAAAACAACTTGATAACCTACTGCATTTACATACAGTTGAACACGCAACAATCCCAGGTGTAAATATCCATAGGTCATAACTAAATTTCAGTGCACACATGATTTTTCTATGCTACCTTTTGAAACTGCATCTACATATTGCAAGCATTTTTCGAAGCCTCCTACTTTTACAGCAAATATTTACAATGCAGGCGCAGTAAAAATACGGTGCATACGAAGCAAACAATAATGTAAAACAGGCCTTCTAAAGCATGTAAAAGGTGTGCGCTCGTGTGGGCTCCACTGCAGTGTACATGCAACAAGGATATTATAGACCACCCCAAACACCACAACACTTTGGATGCTGTAAGCCAAGTTTCTCACTTTCGAGGCGTTTCTTCACTAGCAGAGCGGCAGTGAGGAAAAACAAATAATTATAAATAGGAGGCGGCTTAAAGACTTGTGGTCAGCTTTTGCACAGCAAACTTTTCTTAGACTGGTACTGCATCTCAGACCACCAATGATTAATAAATGCCTTCAACCGTAAGAAGCCAAAATGCAAGACGAGACAAGATTTTGTTGCACAAAAGTCCACTGCGATGCTCAACTCACTGATACCACAATAGCCACAAAAGGCCTTGTATTTTCGGTAACGGCAGAGACTGATCGATCAATGATAACAACTTTAGCACGGCTGCAATCCTGTCTTCATGGATAAGCATCAAAAAAAGAGTGAAGGTGAGGTGATAGGTAGTTGCGAATCTGGGAGTTGCGAATCTGGAACAGGCCTCTCCTCGAACAAACCACGCTAAGGGGTTCCATTCTTAAACTCTGGCCGTCAGACGATGTTCGGGATGACCGCAGTGGCTGATGAGGTCACGGCATCTGCCGGGTTGGTTGAGGCTTACTGGCATTGATTGCCAGTAGTTGACATGGCTCCAGATTTTTTTCTTTCGTGTTGCACATTACGGTCAGGCACAAGTTGCTACTTGATCCAAATGTCCGCAGTCACCAAGTGGAGCACACGTGACAAAACGACTTGATACGTCCTTCTAGCCCCGGAGCTTTGCTGAATAAAGAACTCTTGCTTTATTTTCTGTGCCTCGCGCCAGCCTTGCTTCCACGTCGCTTGAGGTCACGTGCGACCACTTCTTCCTTCACAGTGCAATCCCATCGATGTCAGTGGCGCTACATTTCAATGGCTGATGCCGACGGATCAAAGATTGCATTCGTCCCTCTTGATGGGTTGTATAAGTCTGCCACGTCGCTTGAGGTCACGTGCGAGCACTTCTTCCTTCACAGTGCAATCCCATCGATGTCAGTGGCGCTACATTTCAATGGCTGATGCCGACGGATCAAAGATTGCATTCGTCCCTCTTGATGGGTTGTATAAGTTTAACAACATGTCATTCAAACTGTCCAACATGCCAGCTACCTTCGAACAGATGAAGGACTACATCCTTCGCAGCTGAGTTTGAGTTTAGTTTATTTACCACGTACAGTTGTACAGTAAGTGGCTGGGACAGAGGAAAAAAGCTGTATAAAACACCTTGACAAATCCCCATATCCCCATGGCAACTGTGGCAACAAAAACGGCAAAATCAAATTAAACACAGGACAGTTTAAACCAACAATGCATATGCTTTGCATCAGAACAAAAAAATTTAAACAAACTATACTAACCAAAAAACGCACATGCTATACATCAAAAGAAGTAATAAAAAAAGAATACTACACACAAATTAATGAAGCATATTTAAAATAAAAACATTAGAGAGCATACGAATAGTTTCATAATTGATTCCCAATTTATTTAGTATATTCGGCAAGCAATAACTCAATGTCTGAAAGCCATAATTTGTGCACAGTCTCGGCACATGCCATTATTCAGAGTGTCGGTTTAGGCGCAATGAAGGATTTAATTGCAAGTTAGCTAAACTACGTATATAGCCACGACCTTTTATGGTATCAGATCTAAAAGAGACTGCTAAAGAATACTTGTAGAGCAGGTTTAATTTGATTATTTTCTATTTAGCAAATAATTGTGAAGTATGGGCATTAAAAGGAAGGTTAGCAACAGATCGTAGTGCCTTTTTTTGTAAGATAATAAGATTACTAATAGATTGCTTTGTTCCATTACCCCAAATTAGGTTGCAGTAACTCAGATGTGATGTAAAGAGCGCATTCAATATCAGAAGTTTTTGAGGAACTGGCAATAAACCCTGACATTTTCTCAGACTGCAAAACTTTGCAGTGTGGCTGAATCTCCAAAGCCCAATTCCATAAAATTCTTAGATTTATTAGAGAGTGCTCATGTTTTTGTCGAAAGCACCAAAAGGCAATTTAGGAGCATGAAAATTTAGTTTTGGAGCAAATTTCTCGAGTGACAAATCACTGGTAATTGGAACTTTTGCTTTATCTTTGGTTCCTCATAAACACAAAAATTTCAGTGGTTTTTACTAAGCATTCAATGCTGACCAAGTGGCCAGACTTACCCTAAACTGATATATATATTAAACCTTACAACATCAAAACTGAAAGCACAACAACTCAAGGAAAAAAACATAAGCGGCGCTCTGCACAGCCACTAGACCTCAGACGAATAAAAAAGTTAACGTTAAAATGTTGCAATATTCAAAATGTGACTAAAACACTGCATCCAACATGAACAGCAACTCAAGACTAGAGATTAACTAATATAATAAAAGTTATCTTCATACTAAACCAATAGGGCTCTATAATATTAAATGTAAAAAAACTTTGTGTTCTGGTCACTGAAGTGCCGCAGCCGCCATGAGAGCCACGAAGAAATTTTGATGGGCACGCCAAGCCATTGCTAGGCAATTAAGTGAATTTTTTTTATTAGGATAGGAACTATATAGATACTCGACAGGTTTTCGCCGTCCACGGCAGGTTCCGCGTAAACTGCTGTTCCGCGTAAACTACAAGTTGGTAACATACCACCGAATCTTACGTTCTACCCGTGTGAAAAGTTGCGTAAGCTGGGGTCATGAGCGCTGTTCAAGCAGACATTAAAAGGTGTGGCCGATCTGCGTCGCTCGGAGGGCGCACGTGATAGCATCCCACTGCGTGTTAGACATGCCGTCAAATGCTGAAGTAGAGATGAAACACGCTGCCCGCATTGAACGAGCATGAAAAAAAATGCGGGGGAAGGGGTGGAGGGGGGAAGGGGTTGCTAAAGCAGCAGCAGGGAACCTTGATTATAAGGGCATACTTGCGATAAGCTGGTGCCCACGCTATCAGCAAGCATCAGCGCGCGACTCATAAACCGTCCTACGTGGTGTGCTCTCAACGGGAAGAGATTGTGCGATAAGAGTATTTATCCCTGGAGCAGCCGTACTTACTCTCTTACACCAGCGCTTTGTAGTGTATCGCAATGTCGGTGTTAGCTTTCACCGACATTGAGATACAATACAAAGTTAGCTTTCAGCCTTTGTATTGCCACAGTGTTATGATGTTGACGAAGCTAGCAGCTGCTGTTTTCAGAGTGAAGTTTATTTGGGAGACCCTGCGCCTAGAACATGAAACGCACACACAATAGACTGATAGCAACAAACCCGAGCGTCGGCCGTCAATAATCTGCCAAGCAACACTGTGCGACAGGATTCATACATGTGCCATCAAAGATTCCAGTGTTATTGCTAGCGGCTGCACAAGTTCCAGAACAAACTCTAATGTACGCATTGTGCACGTAATCTCATTGGAAAGTTGGAAGATTATCTAGATTGTTCTCAGTCATTCGGGCGCAGTTTACACGCTTAAAGCTGCGATAAGAAAAATAGAAAGAAAAGAGCACGTACGGCATTACCATTAGAAGATTACAAATTCTTGCTATTGCAGTCGTCCCTCTGCCTGTGAAACTTACTTTTTTTTTTTTCAGTTCATGTAGCACAGCTAACAGCTTTGCAGTTAAAATATATATAAAGTCGCATAATGAGGTATACACACAAGTGCCACCTAAACAAGATGCATGCATAAACCGAAATGTGACGTGACTGAACTAATTTGGCATGGACGCTGTTGCGTCCTTTGTGTAGCCCCCACGTGTTGCTCGGTTGATGATAAAACTACACTAAATTTGGCGTTGTGAATGCAAACTCCTGTTTAGGCGCAGCTTGGTGCAACAAGTCAAATTGGCACAGAATGGCACAAATGTCACAACGATTACACCCCAGCATAAGCTACGACCTCCTCTACAAGCGACATTGCACGTCTCATGGTCATACATCGCTATCAGTGATGCCCCACCACATGCAAAGGGAAACACGTGCTGTTTTCCACAACAACCTGCAAAGCGCTCACGCTGGCACTCTCGAGACATACCTGCATCAGTGATACTACTTGTGCCGCGTGTATGGTACATTTGTGTGCAAGCATATACAGTATGGTCCACTGTTAAAGGGAACACTTCAATGCACACCATGAATATTCCTGGCCCTCTAAGAGCAAGTGGATTAAGAAAAATCTTCATGCAAGTCAATAGTCTGTCAAGAGGAGTCGGAACCTTTAACCACCAGTAGCCTTATGCATACCTAAGCTGCTATGATTCTGTAAGATAGCGAAATCTAAACATGCTGCTCACACAGGTGTTCCCTTTAACAGTGGACCTGTCTGTGCATGCTTGTACAACCTGTCAGCAATGCAAAGTGCTACCTCTACACCCAGCCGGTAGACACCAGCCTCTGCCTTGTCGAGCACCTCCATGTGAATGTGACCGCATTGCTATTGACTTATACACTCCCTTCGACGTCTTCTAGAAATAAATGGATAATTGTTTGCGTGGAGCACCTGACACGTTACGGAGAGGCGGCAGCACTGCCCGCCACAACCCCAAAAGAAGATGAGTTTTTCGTTTTACACAACTTTGTCCTTTGCCACGGCTAACTTTTTGAAATTGGTGTTCGTCATTTTGAGGTGTTAGGAACATATAAGAAGGATAAAATTCTATTAGTTATTTTGAAACATTAGGTATTCTAAAATTCGTAGTAGTGAAATATTTTTTAAATTAAACCGATGGACATTTTGACATTTTCAGGGGGGTTTTCGAAAAAGTCATCAATCTGAAAAAATTGTTATCCTGAGGTTCACTATGACGAGATTCGTCTGTAGTTGTTTGTGGCCAGGCCAACATACTTTCTCAAACAGAGAGCCGCCCATTGATCTGCCAGTTTTGCATAGGTTAAGGTCTCCAGATTTTTCCCTGTTTCTTAAACACCGACAGTCATCGGAGCACCATCGATAAATCTGATTGGCTAACGCTCATTTTCAGGAGTCATGTTCTTCCTAACGCTTTGCCAGCACCTGGTGAATAGAGTCTCACTAACGACGGGGCACTGAGCAGAGGAGAAAGCATCCCCTAAAAGATGCATGGCTAATGTACAATAGTAGCATTGTAAATCTTCCAAGTTAGGAAGAAAATGGCGGTAGACCCCGGCTGCACGTGATAGAGGGCTGACAGAGCAAGCAGTTGTCTAGGAGCTTTAGCCTCTCAGAGTACTTGATGAAGATTTCCAGTTCTTGCTTATCTTTGAAAGGAAGGTGCTTAATGTCATGCCGTTTGGACAGAGTAGGTCAAAAACCTTAAATTAACTGCTTGAAATTCTTATAGCCTTAGCCTTGCTTTTTGGCATTTCATCATAGTGAAATCACAAATAATTACCTTTCAATAGTTTCTGCTTAAAAATATATAGTGCTCAATACACCTCAAGTCCTGAAAACTAAATATAGATTATGTCAAGTGTCTTGTATGGATGCCTAAAAAGACAGACAACCACTCAGAACTTGAACCCACTAATGTAAAGACCACCAATATTACTGACTAATACAGTGTTTTTCTAATTGGGCTCAAATTTACACAGTAGACTCTCTTTAAAGGGAACCTGGAGGGGCCATTAAACAACACTTGCGTTTAATGAGAGATAGAGAGAGGTGCAGATAACAAGTACAAAACCAATTATGTCAGAGACAGCTGTTTAGTGAGAGCCTACTGTATTTTTATTTCCTCACAAAACTCACTTTTGGCACTCTAAGCAGCAAAAAAGTGAAAATGTGCATGATCCTGTGACCTTTTCTTTTGCTGATGCACATGATTAATGGTCTCTATATCAGTGTTGAAATACAGCACACTTTTCTTTACGACATTCTCCAATTTAAAATGTGCCAGTGCACCTTTGTTTGTAGAGAGCAGAACAGTGGTGCCACCCTCGTTTCACATGCGATCCTATGCTCATAAGTGGCAGCATGTGGCCTGCATGACTAGCTCTGGCAACTCAATCCTGCCAGAGCTATTCACAGCCACGTGTTATTAAGGATCGACACATGCAGCACTGAAGTTGTCAGTCAAGCACTAGCAGGAGCTGTTGTCAACAAGATAAAGTACCAGGAGCGCGTTGGAGCAGTCAAAGGATTCCACGCTACGAAGAGTGCTTGAGGAACTTAAATTTATTGGCTTTTGATAAAAATGAAAGAGGTTAGTCGCAGTCCAATCACGGTTGCTAAAGTAACCTGTTGGGAATTCTATCCCTCCTCAGCGTTGCAGGAGGAGGCAGCCTTACTTTTACTTTGTCAGTGTCTAGTCAACCCGGGAAATTCTTCTTACAACACATCCATTAGTTGTCGGAATCAACCAATGCCAGTTTAAAGGGGCCCTGTATAGTGCTCCAACTTCTGCACGGCCAACAAAGATGCAGAGAGGGAGAGGAGAGCTAGACAAACAATAAAATAGCCAGTTGGTATCAAGACTCTCAATAGCACACTTCGTCTCTGCGTTCCGCATGCATACCAACATCTGCAACACTTTTCCAAGTAGCCATGAAATGTATTTACTAAAGGAGCTTATTGCCTGACGAAGTCCCCACCTCAAAAATTTTTATGGTCCATCCAGTATGAACGAAGTTACAAAGATTTATCGCATGCTGCAATTGCATTCTCGCTTTTCTCACCCCGACGAAAGCACAGGAAGCTACGCAGGGAGGGATGACACAGAAAAAGAAAAGACATCTCGTACACCTCCAGACCTTGGGGACTTTTCATCTTTTTGCTTCTCTTTGAATAAGCAACTATACGCTATAATATTTGGCTCACGTGTTCTCAGAAGCCTCAACTACCGATCAGCCCCAATTTTTAGCCATGCTCAAAAAGTGCTGCGCCTTTAAGCACTGCCAAGAGAAAGCTTTTCATTGATCCGTAAAAAAACTGCATCAAGAAAGATTGTTTGCCTTTTCCGCTACAGGATTCCTTCTGCTATCCTGCTGTTTCACCTTTTTCCCGCCTTCCTCTAACCAGTAATAATGCATGCGCATCCCAACATACCTCGATAGTGGCATCGACAAACGTGCCAGTGTGAGGTAATATTACACAAAGCCTTATTTTGACTTGACCAACTCGTAAAGAAAGCTTCCCAACACTTCATTGAAGGAGGCATACACAAACTTCATTGAAGGAGGCATACAAGACAAATAGCACAGAAAAGACCACATAACACAAAAACACGGAAACCTCTAGCTAATAAAAATGTAAAAAAGCAAAAAGGTCAAATGCAACAATGATGGCGTAAGACGTATACGTGGCTACAGCCACCCGATCCACCTTCAAGATGGCAACGATGAGCATGGCATGAAAGATTGGTCTCGACACGATATGGTGCGACGGCACAACATCTGCATCTCACAGCACTTTTACGGCTGATTTGACGGTACCTAAGCAGCATGTGCCAAGTGAAATTCAGTATCTACGACATGCCTGCCACACAAATGCAGCAGTTTGAAGGAACACGCACCAGTGTCTCTCTTCTCGAGCTGTGACAGCAGGTCCACCACGACTTCAGCCGAGTCATCCCCACAGTCGCTGCCCAACACCTGAATCGAGAGCAACAGAAGCAAAATCTTTGGCTTGCTGTAGTCATGCATTCAGAGCGAGATAACACGCATTGAACGTGCGCACCGCCTTGGAAAGTTTTCACCTTCCAGATGCCGTCCGATAATAGTGAAATTTTCCAGCTTTAAAACGAAAGAAAAAATTCTTCACACAAAAATAATTTTAAAGTGCGCAACGTAAGCATTACTGAGGACTTTTTGCCTGCAACGCGCCTAGTTTGCAGAAAACTAGTCCACTTTGCTAAATCTCAGCCTAACTATCCGTCTTTAAAATTAAAATATAACAGACTGCTTTTAAACGATACATACTACTCCTATGACACCGTAACCGATACGGCGCTTGAGGCAGCCATGCTTCGTTCACACAAAAGCGATGTTCGGGAAGTGACTGTCAGTCCTTCTGAACAAATTACTGTTCTGAACAAATTACAAGCGAGGGGTAGTGGTACTGGTGCTCATTCATCGCACGCTTCTATTTTGTTCACAAATATCAGAAGCCTAATCCACAGGCGCACAGAACTGTCGGCAGCTATTATTTCTTCATCTGCAGATATTATAGTCTTAGCTGAAACATGGCTCCATAGGAATATACGCGACTGTGAAATCTTGGATTCTTATAACCAGTTCCATTTTTACCGCCGTGAATGGGAGGCAAGGCAGGGAGGCGGTGTTCTCGTGGCTGTAAAAAAACAACTTGAATCGTTTGCGCTCAACATACCAACTGGCTTAGAAATCGTGTGGATATCTGCGAAGCTGTCACATCGTAGGATAATTTTGGGTGCTTGCTATCGTCCTCCTAATTCGTCAGCTACGTTCGTTGCTGACCTTCAAGATGCGATGAACGCAGTTGTATCACGATACCCCATATGTCCTATTTTTTTATTGGGTGATTTCAATTACACAGACATTGACTGGTCGGCCGCAGTACCTTTTCCAAAACCGTTTTCATCTAGTACCCAACAATTTATAGACTTTTTCTTAGCCTTTAACTTCACACAAGTAGTATGAGAACCTACAAAAGTTACACAAACTACTGCAAATATATTAGATTTAGCTCTTACAAACTCCCCAGATCTCTGTTCGAAAATAACATATATGCCCAAACTAAGTGATCATGTCCTTTTGAATTTGACCGTAACAATACCAGTGCAAAATTGTTCTAAAAAACGAAAAACCATTCGAAATTATCACAATGCCAACTTTTCAGAAATTAATTGTGAGCTGCATTTATTTCTTATTGATTACTTAGACGGATTCGATGAGCGTTCACTGAAATGCAACTGGGCATTATTTAAGAACAAGATCACTGAATTGACAGAATGCTTTATACCTACTCGGGAAATTACGTGTAATCCGACGGCTCCTTGGTATAGCTCCAACCTAAAACGACTATCTAACCAAAAAAAAAAAAAAAAACGTCTGTACCGCCGTGCCAAAACATCTCGCAGTAGTTATAGGTGGTCATTGTACCGTTCAGCAGTAAATGAATATGTTACTGCTGTCAAAACTGCAAAACAAAACTTCTTGACCAATACGATGCCTAGTTTTTTGCAAAATAATCCTAAGAAATTTTGGCGCGTCGTTAACCCAGCTGACAGCTCTCGCATTACTCTAACTGACACAAACGGTGAGCCTCTACCTCATGAAGAATGTGCTAGTGTGCTAAACAAAGTGCTTTCTGATGCATTCTGCAACGATCCCACTTCTTGTCTACCCAGTTTTAAAAGTCACGACTACATACCGATGTACCCTCTGCAGATTGACCTTAACGGAATAAATAAAATAATTGACTCCGTTAAAATTTCTTCCAGTTCCGGTGTAGATGGTATTAATTCCAAATTCCTGAAAAGTACTACAAAACTGTTCTATTTTCCTAGCGAAGCTTTTTGAACAATCGCTAGAACAAAGTAAAATCCCTGCTGATTGGGAAGTAGGGAAGGTGGTTCCAGTCTTTAAATCTGGAGACAGACAGTCCCCCTTTAACTACAGGCCAATATCTATCACTAGCATACCATGTAAAACTTTGGAACACATCATTTACTCTCATGTCGCCAACTTTCTCGAATCCAATTCATTTTTTGACCCTGCACAGCATGAATTCCGGAAGTATTTTTCGTGTGAAACCCAGTTCATTTTGTTTACTAACAAACTTCATTCTATTCTTGAAAACCGTTCAAATCTCTTGTACGTTCACAACTCGACTATGCATCACCGATATGGGATCCACGTACTGAAATTCTTAGTCATCAACTCGAAATGATTCAAAACAACACCGCACATTTCATTTTTTCTAACTATCAGCAAGCAGCCAGCGTATCCGGAATGAAAAGTAACTTGGGTCTAACATCTCTGACGTCACGTCGCAAAATTGCACGGTTGTGCTTATTCCATAAAGTATTCTCACACAATATGCTTCGCCATGCTTTCTTACTCCACCTACATTATATCCTCGCGTTTAGATCATGTTCATAAAGTTGGCGTTCCCTCTTGCAACACTAAGGCCTTTTTCCATTCCTTCATTTTCCATACCTCTAACGACTGGAACCACCTTCCTTCTAACATTGCTACAATTTGCAACCCAGATGTGTTTCGTACCGCTGTGTCTAATATTAAATTTTAGGTCATTTGATTCTGTATAACATTGCAGTGATATCTGTGAAATTCACTTGTCTAATGTATGTATATTATTTTCTTTTTTTTTGAATGCCAAAAAATTGTCACCTATGCTAACCTCAGCCGCATTTTTCGTGTCGCAACAGGAACATTGCGACCTTTTTGAACCGTTTAACTTGTTTTGTACAGGTTATAGCTACTTCTGTTCTCCTATTTGTACTGCAGTTTCCTGACTTGTTGTAATGTATTCACCCACTCCCTCTTCAATGCAATTGCCTTGAGGGTATTCAAAATAATAAAAAAAAACAGTAACTTTTGCAGTCGCCAATCCGTGGCAGCCAAAGGCTAGTCAGAACACAGTTTGAAATACAAGCATGAAAACAGATAAATATTCAAACGTCTTTCACAAATCCCAGGACAACAAGACAGATAGAACAGAGGGGAAATTTGCTGTCCACGTCAAAATTTCAAAACAACCAATTTTTGTAGTCTCAGTCAAGCGGTAATTTTTTCAAATCGCCGTTTGACTGCCAAATCAGCATCTGAATTGTTAGATGTCAACCCCTCACACAAGGAGTCAGATGTTATAACTCAGCTATTGATTAACGAAAAATATCTCGAAAGTGTGCAAGCAAGACAATGCTAATTTGATCAAAGGTGACATCTCCCTCTATGCTTTGATTGGACGCCACATTGTGTGCATATTTGCCTATATTTGCGAACTAATTATTTCAATGCATCATTTCATAACATACGTAAAAGCTTTTTTTCAGAATTCCCCCTGCTATTAATCATGAATAAACCATAACATATAACAACACATTTTTTGTCACTTTCCATAATACATTCTGATGGGCTAGTAGCTGGTAGACACACGAAATTATCAGGACACAAGTAAGAAAACACAGAGAACACAACGAGTGCAGATGCAAACTGCTTATTTTTTAGTTAGCAAGGAACAGGTATTTCAAACCGGAGCTTTTACTCAGCAATGTACAGTAAAAACCGTCTGTAATTTATGTCACAAGAGTCCTCAATATCCCTGCTATTAGTTGTATCCCACTATAAACAAAACAGCCATTTTCAAGGGCCACAGTTGTGCAAAGCATGTTGAGTATGTAGCCTCAAATGTTCAAAAATGGAGGCATGCGATGTGTGGTGCTTACAACTATTTATATTTCCGAACGTTTATAAAAATTTATGTCTAAAGACCGGTGTTGCCAAGGAAATGAACGCAAAAGGGGGTAGAAGTCTAACAAAAGAAAGCACCAGCAGGAAAATTCGCTGGCTACTTCTCAGACTGCCTTGATAATGTACATAACACAGAAACTATGTCAAGTAGTGTTCGAAATTTTGCCCGCTAAAAGATATCGATCGTTCAGCTTCAGAGACGGGCACCCGATTACAAGACATCTCAATAGAATTGCAAATAACTACAATTGAACACGGTTATATCGAACCCACATATATCGAATTTTCGGGTATATCGAACTCACAAATTATCTCCTTGAAATCCCTTTGTAAATGTATAAAAATTCGCACGTTTATATTGAACGGTATTTTTACCCGTCTTCGGACACATCGAACGCTGCGCGAGCTGGAAGGTGCGCTTCGACACTTGCCCCCCCCCTCCCCCTCCTTCCCCCGGATCTCTGCGGCAGCGTGGCTCCATGCACGAGTTGAAAGGCAGGCTTTTGGCACTCGCACCAGTGCCCAGCGACTGCCGTGCGGCACCATGCCTGTGCCAAAACCCAAAATGTTCGAAAAAGATATGGCCAAGAGGGCTCGGACTGCGCAATGTTCAACTTGCGGAATGCCTTTTTAAAGACGATAGTCTTTCTTGGGGACCTTTGAAGCAAAAACTTTGGTCTGTCTGTCTGTACATTTGTCTGTTTATCCGCTGTTACCGCGAACCGGGTACTTTAAACAGCACCAGCTGATACCCCGAACGGCCGACCCCATCCGCAGCGCCCACCAATGTTGCTCAAGAATCAGCGTTCATACATGTACGATTTCCAATTAAAAAGCAATTATTGCGCATATCAGAGGCACCATAACAACACGAATATATTCTGTAGGTGCGTCTTTTACTAGAAAAGGCATACATCAGTAATTCTAAAGACAGTAGCGTTTATCACACTGCGCTGACCACGCAATGCTTGCACGAAAATGCGAGTGTTTCCAACGCTTTGCTAAGGTGAGACGGTGGTGGCACCTACCCATCGCTTTCCCGTCGCGCACGCTTGTCTCAGAGGCACGCGCTTCGTCTTCCAGGAAAACTGCCAGATAGCGCTCATGTCTCACGTGTGACGTGACTTGATGCGCTTGTTCGCCTCCGCTGCATGCGCGAGGCACTCTAACGCAGTGCCTACAGGAAACCATTCACCGATTTTCTAGCGCAGAACATCAAATAAATGTTTTGTTCACTGTCTCCACACACAAGACTATCGTCTTTCGACGACATTTGCAGACTACATGCAAAATGGGGCCAATTTTTTTTTTTCGTTTCTGTTTCTCTCTCTCATGTTTTCTCCGTGTAGGCGTCGGCTCAGAGAGCAGCAATGAAGGAGCCGACGTCCTCCTCCTTTCGTCTTTTCTTTCATTTTTTGTTGATGTTTGGTGAGGATTGATCAGCCGACCACAGCTCGCACCTTTTGCTGTTGCCCTCGCAGGTAGCCATTGCCCCACGAGCGCTTTGTTGCTCTCACGCTTTGTTGCTTTCGAGCTGTCGCGTAGCCTACATACCACCGCATGTGCAGCATTTCTTTTTTGCCTGTGTGGTGTGCAAAGCCGCTGCAGACTCCTTGAATTGTCGGCTTCTCTTGTAGCTATGACCAGCGTCAAAAAGTGTAAGACCCTTGACATTGCGACGAAGTTAAAGGCTATTAAGCAAGTTGAGGCGGGCGAGAAATGTTTGACCGTCGTGGACGACTTCAGGATGCCACGGAGCACTTGAGTGCCTTGTTGAAAAACAAGGCAGATATCAAGGCAAAGGCGGCGAAGCAGCAAACGTCGGAAGCCTGTCATGTGCCCACTTCTGCCCACTGGAATGTAGAAAAGGCACTCTATGCCTGGTTTTTAGAAGTGCACGCGAAGAACATTCTGGTGGACGGCCCGATGCTCATCGCCAAGGCCAAATGGTTTGTCACAGTACTCGGTGAAACAACTTCGCCGACAACAGCGGGTGGCTTCACCAATATAAGCGGCGCTACAACATCGATGGCAAAACCATTCCTGGCAACAGCAAAGCTGTCAGCAGCCAGGACATCCAGCAGTAGATGACGAATGAGAGCCAGAAATCTCCGCAAAGTTTTCTCCCGCGGAGATTTTCAATTACTGGCGAGATGTGAAGACGGACACAGTGGTCAACTGCTTCCGCAAGGCAGGCTTCGAGACGATAAAACTTGCAAGAAACCGGTGAAGGCGACGAACGCATAGACGATGCGTTTCGCGAGTAGTAGTAATATCGAGACTAGCGTCTTCAACAATTCAGAAATGAAAAAGCAGGCCAAGGTTAGTGATTTTTTTTTTTTCATGCAAATAAATAATTCTGTTGCGGCGTGTGTGCGGAATTAATTGTCATTCTGAAATGCAGCTATTGTAGGTAATGATCCGCTACAGGTAAGCTCTCAGGGCCTCTAATTTTTTACGTCAAATTTTTCATATGTCGATCTAATTCGCGATCTTTTTCGAGTTCGTTACTATATTCCTGTTCGACTGTATTCAAGTTCTACACATGCCACGTGCTTTTTCATGAACAATATGTATGCCTTCTCTTCAACCGTTGCAAAGAGTTTCGTTGATTTCGTACGAAACTGCGACTTCAATCATGAACGACCACTACCGAAGTACAACAAATGCCGATTAGGCCTAGCCTGATGTTCGGCATGTCACAGGAAGTTTGTCCAGGACATGAACAACGAGTATCAAAAGGATCGCACACAAGACTCAACCAAAAACAGAATTCGTGATACGAAGTTTGTGTTTGCAGCCAGGAGATCAAGGACGACAAAAGCCCACCAAGCGTATGTAGGAACGCGCACCAGCATCAAAGACTCGTGTCATAAAGCCGTGAAACTTTCAAATTTACGGACGAGGCAGCAAATCTGATACTATTTGTTGCAAGCTCGACAACGGGGGCGCTTTTCTCAACAGGAAACCTGGACCATAAAAAAACTCTAAGCGCTATTCAGGATAGGATCGACGAAGACATGTTGAGCCCTACACGGCCAAGCCACACAAGTACAGTACTGTAGCCACGACAGTGCCGATGCAAAGGCTTATCCATCACCTATGCAACCGATCTCCTCCTTCGCTCTTCGAGCCCCTGTAGCCCGCCGCGGTCTTCTTCCTTTTCTTTTTCCTCCCTCCGCCTTTCGTTCGTTCACTAGGCATCCCCTTCTCCTTCGCAACAAGCTCGTCGCTCACTCCCCAGCGGCACACTCGCTGCCCCATTGGTCATAATAATTTTCGGCAACTGCATTATGACCCGTCCATCTTGGGAGGTGGGTCTGTATAATGGTATGTACAGAGTTCTATAGAAGGGTGAACAAAGTCGAAAAAGACCGCTTTGTCGCTGGTCTTGCACTGCAAGTGGTTACGTTACAAATGGCCTGCACTATACGTAATTTCGTCAACACATGCAGGATTCACAGACTGGTGTCCCAGCAAGATTCTTCGCAGGCTTTATGGTGTGCGTATGACCGCTATCTCGGGCTCTTATTCAGCAATGTACATGGGAAACAGGGAGGGAGAATTGTGAATGTGTCTGTCCTGTATATTCGTCTGTGTCCTTCAGAATAAAGCAGGATTCAAATCCATGGTTCGGAATGTTCATAGTCCTTCTTCAGACACTACAGGGAATGAAAAAAAGAAGTCAGAGGCTACGTGTTGTCACCAGTTCCATAACAAATAAGAGAGGCTATCGACGGCATTTTAAACTTTCAACAATGAAGGCACATGCAGTAGTGCACATACCTAAGCTAGGCTCAATATAATGGCAAAAGGCGCATCGCTTGAAGGTAGGGAGTGAGTCGAGGGTGCAAAGAATAATTTTTGGGCTATAAACTTTTCCAATGCCAAGTGGACAATAAACTTTGGCGCAAGATGTGCTAGAATGTGTGCAGCGAGGCACAGGGATATGAAATTGCAGCAAGATGATGCAACTGGTGCAGTTGAATCACCACTGATAGATTAAAAAATGGTCCAAGTGCCTTTCGTTCGCTAAAAAATGCTTCTGCCCTTAAAAATGTGCAATTTGAATGTAAGTAATGTGATCTGTTATCTTGCACTGCTCCTTATTGGTGTTTTGAAGAAGTATTTTACAGTGTTATGTCATCTGCTGCCCCAGTGTTCTTCACAGACTTAATGCACAACGAGAAATAAAGAACAGGATCCAAGGTGGAATTGAAACCAGGCATTCCATGAGGCAGTTGCGAATTCTGCCAGTTGCGACAGTTGTAATTTATCCGATGACCGCATACACAGGAGGAGTCATGTTGACACATGTAAAATTGCATGACAGAAGTGCGTCATGCGATTTGTTCAAAGTGTTCCCACTAGGTTTGTGAGAATATTCAAGCACTTCAAGCATTCAAACAAATTTAAATCATTGGAAATTTCGATGTATTTGAAATAAATGAAAGGTCCACATGCAGCTTCCTGTAAAGATGATTTCACTGCTGTAGAGGAATGTTGTACCAAGAATGCATCTGTCCAGAGAAAATACCCACTTCTGCGAAGCCTCACTTTAAAGATAAATGAATTCATATTACTCTCGCATTGATTTTTTCAGTTTAGAAGATTATTATAAGGGCTAATATGCTTAAAGTGCAGTAAACTTTAAAATGCAACATATTTTACAGCAGCTCACTTTCAATCAACCTAAAGTCAAATCCAGCTACTGTTCAAAGTTGTTTCCACCTGTTTCAACCAAAGAGAATGACACTTGCACCTGCCTTGTCTCAATTAAAAAGGATATTGTATAGGTTAGTTAGGTCATGCCAAATATGATCTTTCTTCTTATAATATGTGATATATAATATTTCAATCCAATGTTAAATTATTTGTATCAAACAACCATTTGCTTCAAACCTAAAATTTACTATATGCACAAGCCTAGTTGCCACCCTAATCTCAACAAAGTGGGCACACCGACCAGGTCCCAGTATGCACGCTGTGCCCGGCGCAGTTCCTGTTGCAGCCTCTGGGCTTCCAGATGGAGTCCCATGAGGAGCGGGGAGTCACGTACACACGAAGGCACTTCCCCATCCGGGGAGTCTGCCTCGTCCTCGGGGATGGGCGCCAGGGGCCCCCCTCCCTTGGGGCCTGGCTGCTGCTGCTGCTGCTGGTCCCTACGACACTCGCGCTCCACCAGGTGCGCCCGCAGGCGGCCATACTTCACCTGCACACAAAAAGGCACTTCTTTGTCTCCTACTACCTCAGGGAATCGCTTCTTTTTTTCTTTGTATTTCAGTGACAAAGGCTCCTGCAGTCAGGCACTGCTGCTCAAGCCCTATGTGTTTGGCAGCCTTCATAAGTAGCAACTTCAAGAAAGGAGGTATAGTACTGTATTGTACTACAAAAAGTATTGTCTTTTGGAACACCTAAAATTTCTCCAAAAACATCGTCGTGGGCCATCTTGAACAAAGCGATCACGTGGTCCCGTACTTAGAACCTGTATTATAAGCGATGAAATTCCATAGTCTATTGAATATCATGGTCATCTATAAAAATAGCTTACCATTTGTCCATAATTATTGCAGAAAAAAAAAAAAGAATTCTGCAGTTAAGTGGATACAAAACAAAGTGTGCCCAGCACTTCTTTAAAATGTTAGCGCTAGCAGCTTTTTATGCATGCATTTTAGACACAATAATTCAGGTAGCCACAACCAGCAAATTTTGATTGTGGGCTGAAAATTGTGCGAAAGTGTCCAGGCGAAAATTCAGAGCAAGAATTCTTCTGAGTGACTTGTGTCTAAAGCAAACAAGGAATATTCAAGTGCCTCTAGCACAATCCTAGCAGCAAGTTCCTTTCATTTTCAGCAAGTCAAACTGATTGATTGCACACCAGTGTTGAACAGCACCCTCAGTCTAGGTGTAGTTAGCGGAACAAACAATAAATACCTGTGCAGAATGAAAGACCAAGCAAGGAGAAAAGCGAAGGAGGAGAGCAAGTGACCAAACCAGGTGTGCTCTCGGCGTGACACAGGTCGCCAACAATGTCATTACTAAGGCAAGCAATCATTTGGGCAAACTGGTAGTCTGTGGTGATCACTGCTCAATGAAGCAAAAAACAGCGTGACACACAGGACATTGAGAGGGACAAAACAAGTGCTGACAAGATAGATGTAGCAATCGCTCGCTTTACAAATTTTCTCAAGTAAGCGATCCCCGAATCTTGTCTTGGGGCAGTGTTCATCCCATCAAACAATGTACCACCGGCTTCACTAACAGGTGCTTAGACTGTGCAACTACAGTGAGCTTATTGCCTTCTACAGCCAACCACACTAACAAAACAGTCATCAAAAAAGGGCTCACTTTCAGGAACAACAGTCCTTCCATTTTGCATCAGGTGTCACACTTTAAGTAGCACAACGAGCAGGCATCAAAGCTGTCTTTTTAGCAAAAAATACATTTTCTAGAACGTGCAAAATGGTGGACAGAGAAGGTCACACTTGAGAATTCGTTCCCGAGGATTAAAATTTGTACCAAGTTCTAGTTATGCATGCAAAGCACTGAAAACAAACAGTTTATATTGTAATGAGTCTGAATGACAGACGCTCTGCTGTTACTGAAGAAGACGATGATCATCGGTGGCTGTAGTAGTAGCTCGCGCACGCCGCTCGCCGGTAGCCAGGCCTGCCTCATAAAGCACCTTTTGCCAAGCTGCGTCCGAACGTTACTCGTCGTACAACACCTCTATTTTAAGTGGTGGAGGAACCCGGGTTCCCATTAACCTAAAACTTCGCAATCGGACGCTACCCTCACTGTTCACCATGACTGCTCCTGGCCCTTCTCAAGCTGCCCCACCAACGACAGTCTTCTGTACTGACGTGCCTTGGCAACGCGACCCACCAATTTTTCGCAGCAATGACGAACAAGACGTCAAAGATTGGCTCATCGAGTACGAAATCGTAAGCGCTTTCAACAAATGAAACGCCTGCGACCAGCTAACGAACGTGCGCTTTTACCTCGCTGATGTGGCCAGCCTTTAGTTCAAGAACCACGAAGGCGAAACCACCAACTGGACCGCCTTGTAGACTACCATCGCCGCGCTCTTAAGTCGTCCCGCTGTGCGATGGCTTTGCGCGGAACAGCGTCTGCATAGTTGAGTCCAGCTCAGGGGCGAGACCTTTACAAGTTGCATCGAAGATGTCTAGTCTCTTTGCAAGCGCGTAGATGCATCTCTAACCGAACACGACAAAATCAAGCACATCATCAAAGGAGTTGACGACAATACCTTCCAGATGCTCGTCGCTAGGAACCCACAGACTGTCACCAACATTGTCCAGCTTTGTCAGGAGTACGACGAGTTGCGTGAGCAGCGCGTCTCGATGCGCAAGGCCGCTGAAGATACAGATGAAGTTTCCGTTCTCATGCATGACGTCGCTGCTAATCACACCGTCTTACTGCCCCACATCAAAGAATTCATTCGTGAAGAAGCTGCGCGTCAACTTTCTCTTCTGGCCAAAGCATCTGAGCCAGTGACCTTATTAGACCCACGTCTACGCCAGGTCATTCAGACACAGGTCACGCAGGCACTGCCTTCATTGCCATCAGTCCCTGTGCCGCTGACCTACGCTGCCGTCGTTGCTAGACCACCAGCCCCACCTGTCTCTAGCGCATACCGGGGCACTGGGTTTTCCTACCCTACGACGCTGCCTACATACACGGCACCCCATCCTACTTCGCCCCCTGCACCTTCTGTTCTTAACCCATGCCGCACCTTCGGTAATGGACCCATCTGTTTTGCATGCGATTTTGTGGGACATACAGCATGCTACTGCCGCCATCGCAACTTCCAGCCTCCGGACTGTGGGAATTCTGCAAATTACCAGGCTGCCTAGAATCCCCAGCGACCATCTTCCCCTATTGCCGACTCGTTGTCCCCACAACGCGCTGTCGATTCTCACCGGTCATTACCGCCCCGTCGCCGATCTGTCTCCCCAATGCTTAGGCGCACAAGCCCCGCTCGAAAGGAAAACTGACAGCCGCAGTTCCAGAGACAAGAACTGCGTCATCGTCGAACTCTCCAAGACCTCCTCTTTGTCCGCGCAACGAAATTATAGTGCTAGTAGAAGGTGTTGCTGTACATGCACTTGTCGACACAGGCGCCATTGTTTCTGTAATTAGTGAAAAACTTTGTCACCGTTTTAGAAAAGTCGCAACACCGCTTACGAATCTTGCTCTGCGTACAGCCACCTTCCATTTCATCGCGCCGTCGGCTCAGTGCACAGCACGTGTTCTTAATCAAGATGTTTGGTACGCCGTCAACATTGTTGTTATTCTCCGTTCACCTTACGACGTCATACTAGGATGGGATTTCCTTTCTACTCATCAGGCCCTCATCGACTGCGCTCGTGCTAAACTCACGTTGACGAATCCATGCTTTAATATCGACCACCACAGTCCCTCGAAAGTGTTTGATGATATATGTTGTTTAATGGCGCAAGGGCCATTGATGGCCAAAGAGCGCCAGGAAATGATATCGGATGAGACAAATGGTTATGGTAAATGGCTGTAAAAGGGCCTAAAATTCTGCGCTCTATAGATGCGTAAGACATATATTTATTAAAATCATGAAAGTGAAGTGAAGCATGCCTGGTGAGAATGAGTCTTTAGTTATCAAGACATCATAAAATAGGAGCGTTATATTAGCACCGATTTCTCATCAGCGCCCTTGGTCTCAAGGGCCGGGAGACAGGTGCTCTTTTGGATGTAGCATCCGCAGCAGCAGCCTCCTTTCAGAGGGCGTGCTACCGATCACTTGAGTAGATAACATGGAAAGTATTTACTTCCTTTAAGAATGCATTCAATGCATTATATTTAAAAAGAGGTTCGCGACCAATAAACATAGCTGGGTGAAGGGGTATGTATTCCTTGTACGCTAGTGAAAAATGTTTTTCCCGGTAAGTCTCTAGCTCAGAGCATTCAAGGAGTATGTGGAGTACGGTTAGTGGAAGGCCACATCTGTGACAGCTGGGTGGGTCACCACCGGACAAAAGGTGTGTGTGCGTGCTGTGTGTGTGTCCTATTCTAAGCCGACAGAGACTGACCTCTGTACGGCGCGTTTTCGACGTGGGTGGCCAGTTACCGAGGTATGGTTTAATCAAGTGTCACTTGTTATGAGTTTGTAGATCCCATAACTTCTGCCAGTAAGCCCTGAGCTTTTTCCGTATGTTTGGTTTTAGGTCCATAATAGGGACAGCAACTGAAGAGTTGGCAGTACTTCCGGTAATTGACGTGGCGAGCTGGTCGGCCAACACATTTCCTTCAATCTCGCGGTGTCCTGGCACCCAGCACACGACGATATGTTGCTTGGAAGCATAGGCCGCGCAGAGTATTGAATAAAGGAATATAATTATAGGGTTTCTGTGTTTTTTTAGATTTTTCAACGCTTCTACAACACTCAGGGAGTCCTTGTATATAACTACTCTAGGCGTATTCAATTCTTTGATGTGTTTAACGGCTACGAAAAACGCGTAAGCCTCGGCTGTAAAAATGCTTGTGCTGGTGGACAGAACGCCAGCATCCGAGAAGGATGAGCCGACCGCCGCATAGGACACCCCAGTATGGGACTTGGATGCATCAGTATAATATTCTGGACAGTCATATTTATGTTGCAGCTCTAAGAAATACATCCGAATGTGTATGGGGGAGGCATGCTTTGTGACAGCTACGAAAGATGTGTCACAGTCTATAACCTGCCACTGCTATGGCGGGAGCCGCAGAGCAGGGGGGCTGAGGTGGTATTCAAGCAGTGGGATATCTGTTTCTTCAGCTAGGTCTCTAACACGCAGCGAGAAAGGGCGTGCCATTGCGGGCAGATTGCAAAAAAGTTGAGAGCTGGACAGGTCGTTGATGGTGGAATTTGCGGGTTGCTCACTGTTCGCATTTGCTTTAAGGAAATATATGAAGGAAGAATATGTTCTCTGCAGATAGAGTGACCTCTCGTCCCATTCCACATAAAGGCTTTCAACTGGGCTTGTTCTGAAGGGGCCTGTGAACAGGCGGAACCCTTGATGATGAACAGGGTCCAACATTTTCAGAGCGCTTGGCGTGGCAGAGTGATAGACTATTGCCCCATACTCAAGGCGTGAGCGTATAAGGCTTCTATACAGATTCATGAGGCACTTTCTGTCACTGCCCCATGTTGTTCGTGACAGCACCTTTAGGATATTC